CGGTTCATTTGTCGAAGGTTGTACTGAAAACCATGTAGATAACTTCAACTGACTTCCCCGGTTCAACACTCGTAACCCTTCGTGTAGCGACAATAGCAGGTTTGTGATGCAGGAGCGTTCCTCTATGAGCCCGGACGTCAGGAAGTTTTTCGACTCCAGCAGCTGTAGTAAACCCTTTTTCACAATCTCCTCGAGTAAGTTGATCAAATAGATGTCAGATAAATTGGCCCGTAGTTGTCCACCTTACTCGATTCACTGCGTTTCGGAATTGGTTTCACCACCGTGCACTTCCATTTGATCGGCAATGTACCTTCGGATAGGGATGTCTTGAACAGATCAGTCACGGATAGAACGATAATGACTGACAAAAGCTTGAGAATCAGCGCATGGAGCCCATTGGGACCGGGAGACTTCGTACTGTCAAGACTGGCAAATAGATTGCGGACATCTTCCATATCACAATTCAGGCTATCCAGTTCAGTGGGAGCCACCCACATCGAGCTGGTATGGATGCACGCCCCTTAGCAAACGCAGAAGACAAGGGAATCCCCTATAGAGACGCAGGTGAAACACACCAGACCATCGTTCCGCCCCATTCAAGCTCTTCATTAGTGCGCATCCCCACTATTCCTTACCGGGAAGCGAACTTATGACAACAAGCAGCATGCGCTAACTAGCCAGAAGCAAATGCCACTGAACCATGAGGGACAGTAGCAAAATATAAAGGAACGACCGTGAGGCCACGCCACTAGCAAAGCTGCGCACTTGAAGAAACTCAGTTTGGATCCGTCAAGGGTTTCAGTCCACCAGAGTTCAATGGTGAGCCCCCACCTAGGGTCACGGCGTTGTTGATCACTCTGAATCCGGTGTTATGTTTCATAAATAATATACTTTGATGGATTCCTCGGATTGACACATAACTGCTGAGTTAGGAAACCTTGTCATGTAATGACTTGGATGCCGAATCTTGGTCTCACGTTATTTGAATGATACAGACGGTTAGGTAGCTTGGGAGCAGAAGCTTGGACTAACCACCCTAAAGTCCCTGGCTGGAATTACAGTCCTTATGTCGCTACCTGACGAGCGTAAATAAACAAGGAATCCATCGTTGGGTACAGTGTCACCAGTGGACAAATAAGAACGTTGAAACCTCAGAGGAATTAAACAGCGGCGCAGGGCGAATTGAGTTTTGTTACTGTTGATTTTCCTCCACTCATATTCTTTATTGGCTACTAACTCAGACAGCGACATTGTACGATATACCGATTGATTCACGTTGGACAAAGAAAAAGGAGTGGGGAAAGACGGTTCCCCAACACTTCAGCCAATGGTAGCGTCATGTTGAGTAGCTGTATTGAACAAAGTAATCAATCCGGTTACAGCTGGTTGCACTGCGTCCGTTCTCTAGCATGGTAACGTCTCGGCTCCTTGGTTCCATCTGTCCGATTGACTACTAGCGAGTAGTAAAGCTGGTGGTGGATTGGGACACCGTTTGACCACCTGACCCCTTTAGAGCAGGGGTGTCCAACCCTTTTGCAAGAAGGCCACATTTTGTGAGGTAAAAATATGTCGGGTCATATTCAGTCTGCGATTAAGCTAATAACAAAAATTACACATGACTGAAAAAAGTCCAAGCTTGAATTTATTATTTAAGGATAAGGCCGTGGGACAGTTGAAATGTGGACGCGGACCGCATTTGGCCTGCGGGCCGGATGTTGGACACTCCTGCATTAGAGGGATTGGGAAGTATGCATGTGTGGATTCAAGCCTTCAGGTCAGTCGAAACACTGAGTCTGCAAACATTACGTTTGAGTATTAAACTTGCCTGTACTCTCAGTACAAAGTGCAGTGTTTTACTGTAAGAATAAAGCCATTAGTTTCACCCTGCATGAGGAAGCCACTCACCTTTTCGCGTAGTGCAGACAATAGATTTATACAATTGTTCAAATTTTCCATGATGAACTCATGAGCCAGCCAGGGGTAAATGAGCACTGCGTTCTAGGCACGGACCGCCGCTGTATTTGCCTAGTTCGAAGTTACTATGCGGTTACATTGTATTATAACTTGAGCGTAGTTTAGGCCAGTTCCTTAGTACCAGTTGTAAAGAACAGATTTTGATGTTTCGTGCGCCAGGAAGCCGGGCACCAGATTTGTGTGCGACCCTATCTCATGTAACTTGTCCATCATGCGAAATGAATACTGTTCGGACATGGTCTTCCGCATTTGAGAGCACATAAATTGACCCCGAACTAACTTGCTCCGGGCCTTGGTAGGGCCACTCAAGGACTTTTCAAAGCGGTCTTAACAAGCTGGTTAAGTAGTTGATGCAGTATATACGTGAGGTAGCAACATGTGCGCTACGAAAGAGATGATTATGCTTAACTGTAATTGGGTTATACGGAAATACGAATGAAAATCCATTTGCCTTCCTTAGCTGATACTGGATAGTTGCTGAGTTACCTCTGGACTGCGTTGAATCTGCTACCTGAGGTGTCCTGTTAGGGATGGGATGGTGTTGCTCACGTGAGCTGTGCACAGTGAAACTAACACGAATGATACAGTAGTTATGGAAGTTCTAACACACACACACACACACACACACACACACACACACACACACAAAGAGTGTCACGACTTGGGTATTATCTTGGCCTGAATGCCAACAGTCCAACCGCAAGAAGCCAATGTTGCTTTTCCATGCGATCGCTGCAACCTGTTCTAGGGCACTTTGAGGTATTCGTTCTAACTCAGGGTGGAAACCGATGGTGGGAATGTCTGCATATTACTTTGTGGAAGTATTTCACTGATTCCGTAACAAACTTTCGAGACTGTGCCTACAGTTCACTATAAAACTAGGTAGTTTTTTACCTGCTCCCACAACTAGGTTTAAACCTATGTTCGTCGTTGTAGAGTCGATGGAACGCATTGCTTCATCCAACTGAATAGGATGCCTTGATTAAGAAGCACAGAAGGCAGGAAATGATAGCGCATAAGTTGAGAAGGCGGCAGAATGCGTAGCTAAAGGCTTACAGCTGCTTCTGTTTTTATCGCCGTGCACATCCACCTTTGAAATTAGAACTTCGGTAACGATCAACTGAGGTCACATTGGGGAAGAACACGAAGGATGTATAGACAGCTAATAAAGAGTCGGTCAGCTTCTTCCTTAGTTGTACGAATATTGCTATGTTTAGCAGTTGTAAATGAATAACTAAATAAATATTTATCCTAGATTTTCACAAGGAACACTTAAGTAGACGCAAGCAATCACGAAACTTGAATTAGTCGCTGTAACAGCACTGTCACTGTGGAAGCTGTGAATGTGGTCATTCGGCATTGTAAGCACACCAGATGTGTTTACGACTTCGGAAAAGAGCTGTTGATGACATAGGCACATTCGCTAATGAAGACAACCAATGAGTGCAGGTAAAAAGGGCTTAAAGGACAAACCCATAGATATATGCTTCGATCGGTTCGTTGCTTACACTTCACACTAGCAATTCGCTCGCATCCCGTTTACCACCAGTCAGAACTGTACCTATTAAGTTTAAATCTAATATTGTTACACACACTTCTTCGTTACATAGGCTGCTCTAAAATTGCGAACTGTGGTGACCGGGAAAGATGCACCTGTCGCTGTTACTAGCCCCATAACTTTTAATGCTTCAGAGGAAACGTCCTGTACGCGTAACCAATAGCGTGCCTTTCCGGTTGCTTTGCCTGCTCGTCACACTAATGAGCACGACGCATTAAGCTCGATGCTAACATTAGGTGACCTTCTACCATTGGAAAGGCACATTAACAAACCTTAGGGAAATGTTTGTTATAGTCACGCAAAAGCATATCCTAAACCGACTGGCGGTTGTTAGCACAGAGGGATGCACCAGACTTCCATTCTATGGGGTACATATGTCTCCCGAGTCGCCTTGAGAAGGAAGAAGTTGAGCAACCGCGACAAGCTTCACAATGGCTCGCATGTTTAGAATTCACCAGATTGTTTCAGCACATACGTACTGAGGCATAACACCACAGAGCATCCTCAAATGTCTGAATAGAAGACCTGAGACCGGGACCGCACCATGGCCTTCCAAAGACTTTCGAGTGATTCCCATTTTTGTTGCTCTTACGTATGCTTGGACAAAATTCCGATAAAAACCCATGGTCCGTATGGTGAGTACTTAGACCTTAGTGTTATAGATCAAGAATCGCTCGAAAATCAGCCCTGAAAGGACAGCGGTATTCGTTGACGTCAATGCAACGCCTACTAAAATGCGGTACTCGCTCTTTTTTGAACTTCACAGTTAGTTGTATTGAAACTTGCTGTATTGTATCCATTAGTGGTGTGTGTGTGTGTGTGTGTACTTCTTAGTTATGGTGAGAGTGTCATTGTTTGGCATAGCAATACCACAGCATCACAGCCGGGAATCCGTCATCCTGTGAGACAGCATACCTTGTGAGAGTTACTAATGGATAATTCCCGGGTCTAAACAACGTATGGAAAAATGCGGCTTTTTGCTCAATGTTTGCCTGCTTAGTTAAGTTTGTGGACGTGCATTGCGTGGGTGGTAGAGTGCGGATGTATGCCGATGACTAGGCGCAGAGTGGAATTCAACAAAAGACGATCAAAACGGTGTAATCAAGTTTGTATTATCAGTGTTCCCATTATGTACACATGTGTTTAAGTTTTAACTGTTTTTCACATAGAAAATATCTGATTAGTTAATCAAAAGGTATGACACAATGGGTAGCCCGTTAAGTAATGCCCTGTAGTGATGGAGCGAACCATTAAGGTTGTGTGAACTCATCGCTCAAACATCAAGCGTACGACACAAATGCTGGCGGAGAAGTGAACCTAGTCAGCAGACCCTAGAATGAAAGTGTGTAAGATCCAAAAAGAATGCTTTTCAGGGTGTTGGATTGTGAACAGTTGAGTACATCCTTACAAGCGATGACACTCACCATTAGTTGCGAACTAGCGTACTACACCAATCGGGGTGACTCACTTTTAAGGATACCGGTGGCGTCAGAAGCTGCCACTCCTCGTCAAATGGAAAGTGGGAGTAGATGAAGATTTTCGGATCCGCGTTGAAGTAAAACATATCTGTCTCATATTCCATACGCCCGACTTGAGCTATCTGGGATAATCGGGCGTTTGCGTTCATCGCTAGACGTTCAGCTGCCCACATCGAGTCGAACAAAGCCCATTTGCCATCTATATACGCAGCACTCCACGCATGCTGAATACGGCTGATGGGTGATTGATCACCCGAATTTGGTGGGATCGCTTGATCTGCAAGCTGCATGCCTACCGCGTAGTCGACGCCCTTGGCAAGACCTTTCACGGTACAGCAGGGAATGTGGGAATAGCGACAGAGTGATTCAAATGCCTGAAATAGAGGAGTGAATATGGAGAACATTGTAAAGCCATGCAAATTGACACATTTTCAAACTTATCAAAAGGTCTTCCGCGTGTAGAAAACTTGCGCGGGATACATTACTGCCCCATTCATTGAACACTGCGATTGCCATGCAAACATTACAGTATTCAGCAGTATAAGTAAAAAGTCTTAATAATACATTGTTAGAAAGGATTGCGACAAAAGCAAGATTCGTTTCTCTATACCTACCCGTTTAGTCAATAGGATTTGAACACCGGTCACGACTGGACGTGTGGTCCTTCATCGCGATAGTACAACGATCAAAACTTGTAGACGGAACAAAGTCGGTGCCGTTCTAGGTCCAGTTCTGCTGAACTCTTTCACACCGGGAATCAGAATTGCAGGACGTCTTTCCAGTGTGTTCATGTTTCGAATAGGCTCCCAATTGGCAGAAGAGTTGCACATGGGAAAATTCATTATCACACGGAGGACCAGACGATGTTTTAAGTTTGTTATTTTCACCAAGCACAGAATAGGGCCGCCTGATAACACTACGCGGGCTTTTAACACAGGTTTGATAATCGATAAAGTTACTTGCATCCACTACATTAAACAAGTCAAAGTATCGTAGATGAAGGATGCATACGTCTGCATTTATAAGACTATCGTAACAGACGACGCTGGGGACTTTAGTTTCCGTACCCTTTGATCTAACACGCTTAGCGAAAAGAACGGTTCAATTAATTTGCTTCCCACATACTTCTGCTTGACAATTTGCCTGCATTCCCGCTTCGTATATCAAAAACGAACCGGGCCATCACTCGCGATTGCACCCCATTGCTAGATGTGTAGTCGCCGTCGGACACAGCTGCTTCACTCACGGTGTCCAATGATTTCCTCAGTCCGATGCAACAGCCCATAATTGACAATGATGGCTCTGGTTGCGGCCATATTTGTGTGTAATCTTTTATGTATTATTTTCCAAGCGTGCGCCTTTACTTCACCACTATCGATTGAGGCGGGTGCAAAGAGAGCACCAGGATTTGAGTCCGTGTTCCACCCTAATGATGTCCCAATTGCTGTTATCCAACTAACTCAATTCATTACAAACTCCATATTTCCCTACAATGTTTCTGCTAGGAGAATAGCTATTTGACATTCGTTTTTTGTGAACGAGCTTAATAACCATTCTTTATTCTTCCGATTTCCTATTTCGCGACTGTTGTTTAAACGATCCACTGTGTTAGCCCGATTGGTAAACAGACGTCACTGTTAATGGACGCTCGTCTCCTTGTCATCTTCAGCAGTGCCATTGGCAAGAACACATTCCATTGGTTTTTATCCGCATCACTTTTCTCCTCGGTTATGGTAAAGGAATATCTACTTGTCACACAATTATTGCGCTAGTTTTTAATTTTTGGTTTTGCACTTCCTACTCTTGGTTGTTTCGTGACATTTGTTTAAGCGATACATTTCGTTATGCTGATTGACCAGTGCCCGTCACTGTAAGTGGAGCTTCGCTTTACGCTTGGGTCCCATGATGCTATTTTTAAGGAGATAAGCGATTCGCTCTTGATTACACGGCTGCATATTCGGCCGTTACATTTGACGTTTTCCTTCTGTTGGTTGGCTCAAGTGTAATTTAGTAGCTTCCCTTCATTTTACTTTCAAAACTATATAAGTAAATGTGATTTCATGTATACAAGTCTCTTTCCGGCTCGTCTTTGGACTTCTTCTTGTGGTCGTGACGTAAAGGCGTCATTGACGACACAACAGTTTCTAAATGCTATGATTATGATTGAACTATCAGGATGCTCTTTTGATGCTCAGCGGCAGCGTAAAACTTCGCGGCTTGTTTACTGTCAATAGGTAGAACATATCGTTCTTATCAGATGAGATTGACGCCTGCGAAATTCGTAGTAGGCAAATAGTTAAGTAGCAACAGATTCGCTGAGGTTGCGCAACCGATGCAAAGCGCAAGCCTTGCGCGTCTACTAACTGTCCAAGTCAGTATAACTAACTTGTCAACATTGGTGCTCATTAGGAGATGCTCCCAAGTTGTGAACTGTTCAGAAAATCGGGAAGAGGCCGAACGAAACCCAAGTCATGTCACTTGTATCACTTTACTGGACGACGTTCACGCGGTCGTCCGTACCTTTGGTTGTGGAACTTAGGAGTGGTTCCATCCGGTAGCGAGGATGTTGTGTTAATAGTAGTACTTATTCAACTAATTCCTCAAGCCTACAGGCTCCAAAGCAGAACCCGTTTAATTCTCTCAACCTCCTGTTTCTATATGCTCAGCATTCGTCAAACCACTGCGCAAAAGCGAAGAATGGCAACTAGACTGAAAAAGTTCACTGTTGCAGCATGTATGATGAAGGTAATCTCAACTAGAACTGCCTTAACGAGCAACAGTTCCACAGATGAACAGACTGATCAAACTTTTGGAGGTTTGTCGCAGCCAGCACACAAGCAGGAACTCGCTAGTAAGGCGGTAGACGACCGTTTCATCCTACTCGGGTTCGTCAGTAGCGCGCCCCTAGGATCCTGCCAGATTACAACCCATGACCTTACGCTTACGATTCCTCGACTTATGCTACGAAGCCAGGGTGCTGGCGGCTTACCGCCATAATTGATATCTAAATGACATCTGGCGAGGCTCATCCTTCATTGTCATGTATGCTGTGAACCTGCAGGGGACAGGGCTGCCCCCAGAGCTACAACTACCATTGCAAACCGGCACCAATCAAGGTGGAATATGACCTACTAAGGCTATTATTGATAAGTAATGAGTAGTAGGGGGACGTATGGTGCTTTTGAGAGGATTCGTTGCAGCTAGACACAAAAAACACAGCCACTACACATCCAGGGAAGTGTTGGACGGCCATTTCGTCCTATAGGGCCACGTCAGTAGCGCGCACCCGCCGAAACCTGCTGGAGGAATTTGTAATTATCTGATCACAACACTGCTTCTATTTATTGTTTTCATTCCTGTGTGGTCAGTACATTAAAAAAATCGTTTGTAGAGTGGAGCAGTGGGAATGAGCAATAAGTATAATTTATCTGCTTCAGATACGATGACAGTGCTGTGGCAGCGTGAGATTCACTTCAAGGTAAAGTGTGTTTCAATTTACATTTGCGTACTATAACTGGAATACAGAATACATAAAAATTAACCATTAGTTTCATCTTCATGTACACGGAGAGACCGCCAGATTTCCAGTTGGGGAACAAATGGTTGATTGCTTTGCAACTTATTTACTCACGAATCATCAACGGCCTTCCCGGCACTTCCGAAAGTGTCACCATTGCAACTGTTCCACGCATTGTCTGTCCATTCATCGCTTGTCATGAATTTCGGGCAACGAGGCCCTTTTGCTCGGGCATCTCGTACATATAGAATCTAAACTATAGAGTATCTCGACTCCAGTACACTAGAATCGGTAAAGGATCTTGCAGCATTCGCCAAAGAATTGAGTACACGCTTATCCTTGCTGTGGAAGGACACTTCTTCGAGTCTCTTTTCTAATACACGTTTGACTGTTGGGAATTGTAAACATTTCCCTTTTCTGGCACATGTCGTTCACATTTCTGTGCATGGATATTAGCCGATAGTTTAGTGCACTCAATATTGGATATTATACATTAAAACGTGGCGTTATTGCTACGACAGCTTCAGTAAACCAGAAAACCTTGAACGGAGATATAGGTTTACCGTTTGTCGGGAAACTTATACCCCGAAAAATGGCACAACGGTACCCATTTTCAAGTTTTTGTTCATTTTGAAGCGCATTTATTTCCTGCTTGTATGGTAGACACCGAGTCTTTCTCTGTCCCGGTGGGATTGATGGCCGGACCAATTATAGTCTTATCCGCAGCAAAACGCACTTCGTTTTCTTCTTCGAAGTTCCGTTGCAAGCACGGCAAAATACGTCAACTTTGTTACCGTATAGGTACCGCTTTATTTCACCTCGTTGCAATAGCAATGTCATCGGATCTAATTGCTCCCTGATTGTAGTTGATGCAGGTTACTTGCATGGTGAGGTATCGAGATTAGTGCTTGTGACCGGGTGGGTTTACTGTACATCTTAAGTAGTCGGTGTAGTCCTGCAGTCAGTAAGGTATTATTTGATGCCTCATGTGTCATAGAACGACAGCACAGAGTGCATGCTGGATTGTTTCGTTTAGCCACACTTCCGATCCCGCTCAGAAGAGTCAAGATACAAACGAAGTGCCTTACTCTTGAATCGCATGCAACCTATACAAAGGCCCACTGGAACGGTGATAGGCAGGTGCCTAACTGATTCATCGACAGCAGGATGGCAGGGTGTATCGATTAAGTGAACAGGCTGGAAGGCGTAAATAGGACGCAGGTCTAAAACAAAGGGGGCTGTAGACTAGATGATATATGAGCCCGAAAGTGAACATTTCAATGACACATGTTTCGCTCTCAGAGCCAGGCAGTGGAAAACGTTTACCTCTGGAGGCTATGCCGTCACCATTTCCAATGCCATTGGTAGTGTGGACATCAGAGAACCCGATGCTGAATGAATTTTTGATATATCCTTCATGGAAAAAGAGTCTCACTCATTGTACACCAGTCGCTTAACTCCTGCCAATTTCTCGTCCTCCAGCACCGTATTAGTGGGATTGAAAACCACAGCCCATAACAAATCCGCAAACCATAGAGCAGACAGTAAATCGCAGTGGATCGGATTGACACCAAACACACGTCGTTCGCCAGGCATCAGACAGTAACTTGCTGGTTTATTGGTGTGCCAGCTCACCACGCCCTGAAAGTTGATTTCGGTTTTGGGTGCGGTGACCGTCGTATTTTTGCTACTCTTTAGTCCCTCAATTTATGCTTCCCGTTGTCTATATCTTTTGCTGACCACTGATGCTTCCAAGCCACCAAATTTATACTTCTTATTGATTGACTCAACGCGGAGAGGAACATAGAACATTTTCGCAACCAACCACTTTTTGAGTGTCTATTGACTTTGACGGGC